CTATAAACATCCACATAAGATTTTGCGTGAACACAGGTTTTCATTTCACTTGGGTAAATACCTAAAAGTTAGATTGCTGGGTCATATGATAAGTATGTATTTAATTTTTTTTTTTTTTTGAGTTGGAGTCTCACTCTGTTGCCCAGGCTAGAGTGCAGTGGCACACTCACGGCCACCCCAGCGTTGACCTGCTGGGCTCTGGCGATTCTTCCGCCTCACCCTTCCAAGTAGCTGGAACTACAGGCGCATGCTGTCATGCCCGGCTAATTTTTGATTTACTGTAGAGACAAGGTGTCACCAAGTTCCCTGGGCTGGTGGGCTCAGGTAATCCACTTGCCTCGGCCTCCCAAAGTGCTGGGATTTCAGGCTGAGCCACCAAGCCCGGCCATGTTGAATTTTACAGGAAAATGCTGAAAAGGCTTCCAGAATGGTTGTACCATATTATATTCTCAAGCAATGAATAAGTGTTCCCTTTATATGTATCCAGTCAGTACATGCTATCGTCAGTCTTTTATAAAGTCATTTTAGTAGATATGTAGTGATAATGTGATTTTAACTTGAACTTCCATAATCGATTATGACATTAAACAACTTTTCACATTCATTTTTGTCATCCTGTTTGATAAGTGTCTGTTCATATCTTTTGCCCATTTTTGCTTGTTTTCTTACTGTTCATTTTTGAGAATTATTTAAACATTCTAGATACAAATCCTTTGTCAGGTATGAGTTTCAAATCTGTATCTTTTGTAGAGCACAATTTTGTTTATCTTGATGAAGTCATATTTATCAATTTTTCCCTTTTATGGATTGTGCTTTTGGTGTCTTAGCAGAGAACTCTGTAATAACTCAAGGACACAAAGGTTTTCTCCTATGACTGCTATTTTTTTTTTTTTTTTGAGTTGTGGTCTCATGCTATTCCCTAGGCTACGGTGCCTTGGCATGATCACAACAATCACCACTCACAGCAGCCTTGGCCTCCTGGGTTCCTTTTACCTCAGCATCCTGAGTAGTGACACCACACCTGGGTAGTTTTTTTTTTTTTTTTTTTTTGGTAGAGATGAGCTTTTACTGTGTTTCCCAGGTTAGTCTCAAGTAACCTACCCATCTTGGCCTCCTAAAGTTTTGGGACTACAGGCATGAGCCAACGTGTTCAGCAAACTTCTAAATTTTTTTTAGTTTTATGCTTTCAGTTTAAATTTATGTTCCTTTTTTTTTTTTTTTGAGTTGGAGTCTCACTGTGTCGCCCAGACTGGAGTTCAGTGGCACGCTCAAGGCCACCGCAGCCTCGACCTGCTGGACTCTGGGGATCCTTCTGCTTCAGTCTTCCAAGTAGCTGAAACTACAGGCACATGCCACGATGCCTGGCTAATATATATATATATATATATATTGAGTTGGAGTCTTACTCTGTTGCCCAGGCTCCCGGCCACTGCAGCCTTGACCTGCTGGGCTCCAGTGATCCTTCTGCCTCAGCCTTTCAAGTAGTTGGAACTACAGGCGCGCGCAACCACGCCTGGCTAATTTAAAAAAATTTATTGTAGAGATGAGGTCTCGCCGAGTTGCCCTGGTGGGTCTCGAACCTACGGGCTCAGGCAATCCACTCACCAAAGTACTGGGATTATAGGCTGAGCCATTGAGCCCGGTTCAATCTTTTCATACAAGCTTTCATACAGTGTAAGTTTTAAATTTTGATAAGGTCCAATTTTAATGTTTTCCCTTTTTTGGATTGGGTTTTTGGTGTCAATTCTAAGAGGTCTTTCCCCAGCTCTAGTTATTGAATATTTTCTCACTGTCCCCCAAATATTATACTTTTAAGTCTATGATCCATCTTAGCTGTTTGTATAAAGTATAAGGTTTAGGAGAGATTGATTTAAAAATTTCAATTAAGAGCCGGGCTCGGTGGCTCAGCCTATAATCCCGTGCTTTGAGAGTCTGAGGTGAGTGAACTGCCTGAGCCCGTGGGTTTGAGACCTGCCTGGGCAACTTGGCAAGACCTTATTTCTACAATAAATAAAAAAAATTAGCCAGGTGTGGTAGAGTGCGCCTGTAGTTCCAGCTACTTGGAAAGCTGAGGCGGAAGGATCGCCGGAGCCCAGCATGTCAAGGCTGCGGTGGCCGGGAGCGGCCACTGCACTCCAGTCTGGGCGACAGAGTGAGACTCCAACTCAAAAAAAAAAAAAAAATTCAATTAAGGAGAGGGATTGGCAGTAGTGGGATACTGCTGGGGCAGGAGTGGGGACACAACATCAGTAAGGGTACCTGATCTCAAACCAGGCAAGGTTGGGGACAAATGGAGGCCCAGACTTTACCTGTACGATGTCCAGTATTGTACCTAATCCTGAATTGTACCACATCTTTAAAAAAAAAATTTGGCTGGGTGCAGTGGCTCAAGCCTATAATCCCAGCACTTTGGGAGGCCGAGGTGGGAGGATTGCCTGAGCTCAGGGGTTTGAGACCAGCCTGGACAACTTGGTGAGACCTCATCTCTACAATAAATAAAAAACTTAGCCAGGTGTGGTAGCATGCGCCTGTAGTTACGGCTACTTGGAAGACTGAGGCAGAAGGATCGCTGGAGTCCAGCAGGTAGAGGCTGCGGTGGCCGTAAGTATGCCACTGTACTCCAGCCTGGGTGACAGAGTGAGACTCCAACTCAAAAAAAAAAAATTAATTATAGCTATATATGTTTTTGCCTGTGGCCACCCAACTGCTCCAGCACCATTAGTTGAAATAGCTATGCTTAACCTATGAAATTATTTTTACACCATTGTGAAATATGTCTTGAATCATTGCTGTCCAATAGAACTCTCTGCAATGATAGAAATGTTCTACATCTGCACTCTCTAGTATGGGTGTCATTAGCCACTGATGGCTATTGAGCACTTGAAATGTGGCTAGTGCAACAAAAGCATTTGATTTTTAATTTGACTTAATTTTTAGTAATTTAAATAGCGACATGTGACTTTCGGCTACCATACTAGTTAGCACAGTTTTGGCAACACAGTAAGATCTCATCTCTAAAAAAAAGAAAGAAAGAAAGAAAAAATAAAATAAAATAAATTAGTCGGGCATAGTGGTGCATGCCTGTAGTCCCAGTTACTTGGCAGGCTGAGGTGGCAGGATCACCTGAGCCCAGGAGGTTAAAGGTTACAGTGAGCTGTGATGATGCCATTGCCTTCCAGCCTGGGTGACAGAGTGAGACCCTGACTCAAAAATAAAGCATACTACTTATTAAATGTTAACAAGGAGAGAATGATTGCAGTTAATAGCCTGTTATATTTTGTATTTGTTATGTTTCAAATATGTCCACCTGTAAACGGTGGTTTCTGGTAAGTAAAATACAAAGTGGCTCTTTTCAGATGGTGTTTCTTATTTTATTTTATTTTTTGAGTTGGAGACCCGCTGGGCTCTGGCGATCCTTCCGCCTCAGCCTTCCAAGTAGCTGGAACTACAGGCGCGCGCTACCACACCCGGCTAATTTTTGATTTATTGTAGAGATGAGGTCTCGCCAAGTTGCCCAGGCGGGTCTCGAACCTGCGGGCTCAGGCAATCCATTCACCTCAGCCTCCCAAAGCGCGGGATTACAGGCTGAGCCACAGATGATGTTTCTTAAAACAACTTGGTCTTCTAAGATGATCTCTTAGCTTCTTAGTATCCTATTGTTTGATATACCGAAAGGAATACGTTCCTAGGGTTTTTGAGAATCCTCTCATGAATGCTGGCTGAGCAATGAATCTAAGATTTTTACATAAAAATAAGAATTTTGTGAGTTTATAATAAAGTTGAAGAAGCCATAGTTTGACTTTCTGACTGCATTTCTTCTGTTCAAATCAATTTCATGGCAGTTTATCAAGGCAACTAGACTTTTTAAGTTTTGCAAAATAAATATTTCTGATTTAAAAGTTTTATTGTAGAAAGTTTAAGAGTATAAGAAATTTAAAGAAGAAAAACAATCACTGGCAATTTTACCATCCCGAGATCACCATTAGAAATATTTTAGTGTATTTCCTTCAAATCACTTTAACATGTATATAGTTTTTTTGTTTGTTTGTTTTTGAGTTGGAGTCTCACTCTGTTGCCCAGGCTGGAGTGCAGTAGCACACTCCCAGCCACCTCAGTGTCAACCTGCTGGGCTCTGGTGATCCTTCCACCTCAGCCTTCCAAGTAGTGGGAAACACAGGTGCTTGCTACCACACCTGGCTAATTTTTTATTTATTGTAGAGACGAGGTCTCACCAAGTTGTCTGGGCTGGTCTTAAACCCGTGGGCTCAGGCAGTCCACTCACCTCAGCCTCCCAAAGTGCTGGGATTACAGGCTGACCGAGACTGGTCAGTTTTTTTTTTTTTTAATAAAGTTGAGCTAGGACTATGTATTTAAATTTTTGTTCTGACTTTACAGAGTAAGGTAAGCATTTTTTCCATGTCTTTATAAACATAATTTTAATGGCTATGCAATAAGCTACAATATTGATAAGTAAGTTTTTCACCACATTGGTGTGTATCTATAATATGATATCATAAATTTTGCCTGGTGCAATGGCTCAGGCCTATAATCTTAGCACTTTGGGAGGCTCTTGAGCCCAGGAGTTTGAGACCAGCCTGGGTATCACAGTGAGACCTCACCTCTACCAAAAAAAAAATTGGCTGGGTGTGATGGCGCGTGCCTATAGTCCCAGCTACCCAGGATGCTGAGGTGGAAGGATTGCCTGAACCTAGAAGGTCTAGGCTGCTGTGAGCCGTGATCATTCTGATCATGCCACTATACTCCAGCCTGGGTGACAGAGTGAGACCCTGACTCAAAAAACAAAAAACAAAAAAAAAAAAAGAGAGATGTTCATTTCTGATGATTTCTGTTTTAAGAGAGTACTAACAGTTCAATTTCTAGGCCAAAACATATGAACGTTTTTGAGGCTCTTGATACATACTGGCCAATTGTTTTCCAGAACATTTATAACAATCCATACTCTACTGGGAATACAGAAGTACCCACTTCACTGTATGTTTACTAGCATTTAATATTATCAATGTTGTTTCTTCCATCAAGAACTAGAGGTTATTTCCACCTCCTCTTGAATGTGGTCTGGCCATGTGACTTGCTTTTACTAGTCAAATGCAATGGAAGTAATGCCATACAACCGCTAAGTCTGGGACTCCAGATGAAGCTTTACTCTCACTCTCCTACTGCTCTGAGACAGCAGAAGCCAACAGGTGAAGTTTGAGCTGCTCCAGTCAACAGCCAGCACCAATTGCCAGGCATGTGAATGAGGCCCTCTTAGATCACGCAGTTCCACTTGAGCCTCAGGATACTGGTGCTGTAGTTGCGTGAATGACTTCACATACAAGCAGCAGAAGAACTGTCCAGCTGAGCCTAGCCCAAACTTCTGTCCTACAGAATCAAGAACAAATAAAATGTTTGCTGTTTTAAGCTAATAAGTTTTAGAATACAACACTAAATGACTGATAAAGTAGATCTAGTTTCAGAAGCTTGAGTCTTCAGTTGTTTACAATCTCAATCACTTCAACTAAATCACTTATTTCTAATCACTTAATTCTAAATCATTTAGTAGTCCCTGCTTCCTTTTTTGGAAAACATAGATTTTTACTTATCTGTCACCATTGTTCCAGGTTTCAAGTTTTAATAAATAAAAACTTAGGTCAGCGTGGTAGCTCATGACTACAATCCTAGCACTTTGGGGGGATGAGGCAGGAGAGGAGGATCACTTGAGCTCAGGATTTCAAGATCAGCCTGTGCAACATAGTGAGACCATGTCTCTCTCTCTCTTTTTTTTTTTTTGAGTTGAAGTCTCACTCTGTCGCCCAGACTTGAGTGCAGTGGCAGGCTCCCAGCTACTGCAGCCTCTACCTGCTGGGCTCCGGCGATCCTTCTGCTCAGCTTTCCAAGTAGCTGGAACTACAGGCACGCACTACCAAGCCCAGCTAATTTTTTGATTTATTGTAGAGATAAGGTCTTGCCAAGTTGCCCAGGTGGGT